AAGTTTTCATAGTCTCGTTCATACGTGCAATGAGTGCGATAAAGAAGACTCTTCTTCAGGGCAATAGGCTTGGGAAGCACTTGGTTATCACATGGTTCTAGTTTGCACTGTGAACCCCAAGAGAGAGCTGCTGTGGGAGCTCCTTTGGTCAATAGCCTTTAAGATAGCCTTTAAGAGACCACACTCAAGTGTGCTGGTATCATAAAAGGTATTGGCTAAAGGAGCTCCCGCAGCAGAAAACGGAATTACACAGCTTTCCTAAACATTTGTCTGTGGATTAAAAAAAAAATGGGGGCAGGCTTACAAGGTATGTACTGAAACCAAGGGTTTCTCTTCCAAAATGTTGATTTAAAGACCCAATGGAGGGCCCCTTAGCCTGGTAAGTCCTTGAAAATGGTCCCAGGCATATGGAGATGGTCACTATTATGCCATGCATACTTGTGTTTTTAAAATAGGGAGGTGGGGACGACAACCTTAGGCCGCATTCCTTGACCTGTTTATATTCCATTGATATGTTACTTGATCCGAACATACTAGCTTTCCGGGTGGGCAGGGAGGAACGGAACATTATTCCAAAGAGGCAGATGACAGTAAGGTGGACCATACTTCAGAAATCAAGAATAATAAAAGAGTAACCATGATAGATTCTTCTTTGGTGTGGGGTGAAGAGGCTAGCATTCATATCAAATAACATTAACATTAGTCATAGCTTGGATAAATCCAACACTTAACACAGACTGAAAGAAAAACCTAATACTCCCTTCCATGGACTAGGCTAACCTTTGCTGGAACTGAAGAAAGTATCAGGTGACTTACTAGGGAATATTGTACTTTCAAAGTCATTGAATTCTGTGGGAATAGCTGAAGCAATTTGTTTCTGATCTTAAAAGAATTTCCCTCTTTGAAACAGTAAATCAGATCCAACTAAAGTTGGATGTTCTGGAGATATTATTTATATTGGAAAAATAACATGAGACATGTATATGAATGTAGCAAATATTCATATGGACAAGTGTAGATGAAGATGGCCATTGTTAACTGCCTGGTAAGTATAAATGGAAGGGATAATATTTAAAATAATTAAATACAAGAAGCTGGAGAGCTGGCTCAGTGGTTAAGAGTACTTGCTGCTCTTGAAGAGGCCAAGGGTTTGATTACCAGTATGCATATGGCAGCTTTCAGCCATCTTAATTTCAGTTCCAGTGGCTCTGATGCCCTTTTTTGATCTCTATAGGCACCAGGCACATAAGGTGTGCACAGACATACATGCAGGCAAAATCTATATACATAAAACTAAATAATAATAGTAATAATAAATGCAAAGAATGAAATAAGAACATGGGATAGCAATAGTCTATTTTTACACAAATGTTTTGGTTGTGTGTGCACTTGAATGTCCATGAGCGTGTGCATATGAGTGTGGGAGCCAGAGGACATCGCCAGTTGTAGATGTAGACAAGTTCAGAGTCATAAGCATTGACATGTTGACTTTGAGGTGTTGATGAGCTATTTTAGGGTAACTTTGTTACCGTGGCACTGTTGACCTCTTGGATGGCATTCTTCTTTGTTGGGGATTGGAAAGAACTGTCCTATGCATTTTAAGGCATTCCACAGCATTTGAACCTTGCTGCTGTATGGCCAGTAGGGCCCTCCCTTGTGTGCAATGTATAGAAAAAAACATAAACTAAATTCTTAGCGTGGAAGTCTGTATCTGATGGCTATATATTATGAGAGTTGCCTCCTTTGGCCTTAAAACTTGTTGAACCTACAAGAGGGGGCTATGTATGGTCTCTTTCCACTGAAGTGGCTACATTGAATAGGAGAGATGACTAGGAGAGAGAAGGAGAAAGTCGCTAGGGATGGCACGTGGATGCTTCTGCAGATGCAGTTTCTTACTGGTCTGGATCGACCTAAGGGGCTGCTGCTTTCACATCCAGTCAGGGAAGCCCGTTTATACTCACAAGTTACCATACATAAACTGAAAACTCTCTAAAACATCACGAGGGCCTTTGTAAAGACCACATTTGCAGTGAAAAGTGTGGGACAATAAACCTCTCAGACTCAGGACTCCGTCAAGGGCATCCTCAAGTTCATCACGTACCTGCCTCTTCCCGTGGACGATAGATAGGGCTTTACAAAACTGAAAGGGGGTTGGGGCCATAGCTCAGTCGGTAAAGGCCTTCCTAAGGCACAAAGACTATGCACAAACGTTCCATCCCCAGCATCACGTAGATTAGATGTGCTAGCACAGGCCAGTCACCCTAGCACTTGGGAGGTGGAAGCAGGAGGGTGGGAAGCTCAAAGTCATTTTCAGAGTGAGGTAGAGGCCATCCCGAGCTACATGAGACACTAGTCTCCAAACGAACCGATTCAGATAAATATGGACGAAAAGCAAGGTACACTACCATCAGATCAGAGTGTCTCCCTCTCATGGCTACTTTATTTGATATATTGGAAGGGGTCCTTATGACTACGGAGCAACAACCTAGCGTATTCAGGCTTTATTTCCCAGAGACCTTGCCACTCTCACTAATCAATACCAAGCACTACCAGAAGATGGCAGTACAGGTCCGTCTGGCGCTTTGGCTTTGGGCTAGCCCGGAGCTCAGGGTGTGGTGTCTTCAGTGTTGAATCTGAAATGTGGCCCCTCACCTGCCTAAGAAATCTGCGTAAAAGCCAAATTCCCCGTGAATCAGCACGCTCCTAAACAGAGAGCTGTTTGGGAACCTGGCTTTACACGGTCAGATGTGCAGCCTACGTGGAATCAATTCAGACCTTAACAAGTAAACTCCAGTGAGAATTTTCGATTGGCTCCTGGTGATGTCACTTGCTGAGGCTGGAAGGCTGGGAGAACTGGTTTTCTAGGTGTGGGGAACCTTTGTTCTCTGCAACACCCACCTGGACCCTGGGGCCTCTCTGGGAGGCCAGGGCCTCCACGGTAACCGAACACAGTACACTGCTTTGTCCCAGCACACCCAGAAGGCCTAAGAAATGCAAGTGCAAAGCAAGGCTTAGGCAAAAATTCACTGTCCAGTAATGGGTCTCACCTTGGCTTCTTGGGACTCAAACCCCGGGGTAGCTTTAAGCCACTCTCTTGATACCGGTTCTGCCCCCCAGGTCCTGGCAGCCAGGTCCTGGGCTGGTTCTGAGAAACCCAAGTGGTTCCAGGCGTTCTGTCTTGACTCCTGGGTTCATTAAATCCCCCCTCACCCACTAACCATTTTAGATTCCTTACACCTCGGGCACGTTTAAAATAAGCTGCAAACCTTAACAAGGCAGCCTTAGGCAAGGGCGAGAAGAATAGAAACCTGATTGCTTTACAGTAGCAAGCAAAGTCGTTAGGTCTCCACCCCACCTCCACCGCTGCCCCAAACTGCCACGATTTACATTGTTCCCAAAAGGTCAGCTTGATATTTGCTTTGTCCCGTTCTGAAAGAAGCATTTGTGTCTGGTTGTCTTCAAAGACCTGCAGGTCGTTTAAGAGGAAGTCCTGTGGCTTTTTTTTTTAACATTTGCAGGACCTGGCCATTGTTTATACCTAACCCCTTTAAACCCCCACAGCTGAGGGGGAAGAATTCACGGTTTTCACGCGCAGCTGGAGCTTCACACTTGCTTTTGAACCGGTCAGCAGTGCCCCAGGCGAGCCTGGTGAAGTGCCAGTTCCCCTGGCCGCACTGATAGTGCAATTTCCTCTCCACCTTGATAGCGTGGTGACTGTAGCTGAATTGGGGGCTTAGTCCCAGGGTTTCCCTGGGTAGTTAAACTAACTGGAGCCCTCAGGAGTAGTCAGCGTTCCAGGAGGAGGGAATGGTTGTGAGGGTGTGGTAGAAAAGCCCACAGCTAGTTGAGGGTACACCGAGCTGACCACACCGGGTGGTCACCCCCTCAAAAGCAGGGTGAGCTTCTTTGCTCACCTCTGCTCTGTATCAAGGAAGATAAAACATTCCCGGGCGGTTTTTCCTGACGGAGGGCTAAACCTGCGGAGAAATGGTGGGGTGAGGAGAAGCCCTGTTTGGTGGCGCTTGCCAGTTTCCCTTGCCCTCTCCAGGAGGGCCTGTCTCTTTCTCGCCCTATCCAGGCTTTTTGCTCTCTTCCGTGGCTCCCACACCTGGCTCTTAGCACTTCCCCTATGATTGTGACTCTCTGAAAAGCTTGCCGCCTTTCCCCTAATCCCTAAGGATAAAATGAATACCTCTGTCACTTTTTTTTTTTTTGCATCTCTCTCCACCCCCGTACTTCCTTCTTCTCGAGATCACAGCAAAATTACTAGATTTGGAATGCATGCTTGTGGGAATAAATGAAGGGGTGATTGGAAGCTGCCATTAGCAACAGTAAGGCAGGGCCTCGCCACCAGAAATGGGGTGCCAACCCCTTAACGGCGCAGAGCAATGTAAAGCAGCTTTTTTGGTAGCGTAGGGGCTACCCAGACCCTGCAGCAATGCATCCTGGGATCTGAAGCGGAACCAAGTCTGGCTGGCAGAAGCAGCCCTCCCTTCAGAGACCAGCTGTGCCTCTGTTAGCATTTTCTTTGGTAAGGAAACAGGTGATGTTTGAGTCCCAGGAAGCAGAGACTGCCGCAGGCATCTTGGTTTCAGTCAAGCTCCTAACTGGATTTGGGCCCTTAGGCCAGTTGCTTGCGTCCTCTTCTCATTTATCAAGTGTGAGAAGCCTTGTGGTCGGCTTACTACTAAGACGTTTGGGAAAGGAACAATAGATGTGTGAGCAGGCTTTTGAGTCCTGCCACACAGTACATGGCCAGCAGATGTGCCCACGTGCTAAGAAGGGGCAGGGCCACTGGGAAAGTGCACATTCTCATGGGAAGTGAAAGTGAATCACATCGCCGTTTCTGTCATGTGACAGCCATGGGACACACTCAACTCACTGAGCGGCTGCTTCCTGGAGCCAGGTGGTGGCTCCTACCTATAAATTCCACTAACTGGAGGGTCGAAGCCTGCCTGAATTATAAATCGAGACCCTGTTAAATAAAAGAAAACAGCAGAAAAGGGGTGATCAGAGGTTGTATTTAGTAACCATCTCCAGCGTCACTCACCCTGTTCTAGCAGCATTCTTTCCCCCAAAACCCCAGGACTTCAAGATGGCAGAAGCAGCTTGATTTGCATTGGATGGCACCAAGCATCTTTGCTGTCCTTATGTGCATACCTCTTTGGAATTTGTGTGTGTGTGTGTGTGAATTACCTTCTCAAAAATTTGTGTTACTGGACCTACATTATTTTTCCTTAGAGTATCTCCTTAGGTAGCTTTCCCATAATACTCCTTCCTATCCTGGCCTCACAAGCGCTAAAATTCTAGCCATGCACCACCTTGTCTAGTGATGGTTAGACACTGTCCTTTTGATCACATTTTGGGTAAATTCTATATCAGATATACATTTGCAAATATTCCTTGTTCCATGATTTTATATTTTTTCACCAATGCCTTTTTCAGGAGCAGAAGTATTTGATTTTGAAACTGAACTTTTCAATGTTTTCTTTTATGGGATGTGACTGCAGTATCAATTTGCTAGCTGCATGTGATGGTATATTCCTATAATCTGTTTTTTTCGGGGGGGTGGGAGACTGGGGCAGGGAGATCACAGATTCCAGGCTAACGTAGGCGACGGAGAGCAACCCTATGTCAAAAACAAATAAATGATACTACTCCATGTCCAAACAATGACAGAACCATTTGTCTAGTGTCTACACATTTTGTGATGTTATGTTTATGTGTGCAATGTATTCGTTTTAAAATTTTCTTTATTCTTAAGAATGTTATATGTGTATACAATGAAATATCGCATTTAGGCCTATTGCCCCCTCCCAATTCCCCCGTATCCTCCTCAATTGCTCCCCTACCAGCTCCATATCTTTTCTGAAAATAACTTCCCAAGTGCAGTTAGTGCTGCCCATCTGTATGAGTGCGGGGAATGCACTAGAGCGTTGGAAATCTGCTTGTAGCCACATCCTAAAAAGGAATGAGTCTCTGTCCCCTAGCAACTATCTACTGTCAATAGTGTTTCAGTACGAAGTGGAGCCTAGAGATCGTGTGCTCCACCTAAGGCAGGACCGTGCAGGTAACCAGAGCTGTGCGAGTTCGTGACCGCACTGGTCGTCAAGTCCAGAGGACTGTGTCCCAGCGCCCCTCCCCATCTTCTCACCTCGTACAGTCTGTCTGCTGCCTCTTCCTTGATGTTCACTGCTTGAGTTTATTTTTTTTATAGTATAGGATATGGATTTAGTTTAGGAATATTTATATACCCTGAATTTCCTGAAAATAGTACAAATAATACATACTCTCATTTAAAAAAAAATAATATCAGAATAGTGGCCGTTTAATATTTTACCAAGCCCAGAGCCCTCCTAAGGTTGGGCGCTAAGCCGCTATGTAAGTGGCACACTTAGGAAGCCACTCCTGGGCAGAATGAGCATATGCATTTTAGCAGTCTGGCTCCAGACTTTTATATGAATACCCCTTGGCTGCTTGGTAAACGGTGGGGAAGTTGAAAGTAGGGTAATGCATCCCTAGACTAGAGACGTGCGGAGGAATTAGGAGGAAGGAACTCTAACCCCTCCTGGATAAAGTGTTGCTTACTTAGAGGAAGTAGAAGTGCTCTCACATAGTACCGGCTGCAACCAGTGGCACCAGAAGTCCTTCTTTGTCATGCTTCTTGGGGCAAGAAGTGCTGTGAAGTTCAGGAGCAAGGTGTGGCCTAGACACAAGTCAGGGAGGTAGCCCTAGGGGGCAGTGTGGATCAGAGTTGGTTAGAGCAAGGGCCCCTTGGAGTCAGGTGTTAGGAGAGCTTCCCAGGGGTGGATGAAGAAAGCTGGTGCAGTAGAGACGGGAGGGGGGGGGTGGACACATGACCACACACTGGAGCCAATGAAAATGAGTTTGACCTCGGCTCTGGATATAGTGGATGGGGGAGGAAGGAACATTATCATACACACTGCTGGCTTGCTTCTTTGTCTGGGAGAAGATGAAGAGATGAAGCCTGTCTGGGGATATCATCCATGACATACAGGCTATGTCTTCCACATGGCAATGACAGTCACAATCTCCTGGAAATAAAAAGTCTTTGGGAAGAAAATAAACACAAAATAAAAAAAGAAACAACAACACGACAACAAAAAAAACAACGAAAAAAACCTCACCCACCCCCCCGCCCGGCACACACACATACAACACCAACTGAAGTTCCTTAAAAGAACAGATGTTAGTGGCCATAAACTCAGACATTTCTCAATTTGGTTTTCCCCCCCAAATATCCCCTTTTGATTTTCAGAGGCATAATCAGTTCTCTGCTTCTGTTCCTTGCATATAATTATATCACATAATAACAATAACAATGGGAAATGCTGACAGAAACAAACAGTGCAATTAAGCAAAACAAAATCGGAAAGAAAATTAACTTTGCAAATAGCTCCAAGACTCTTCCCTCAAGCTCAATAGGAGACAAGGGTGCAGAATATCACAAACCCCGCAGCCAGGTTTCAAGTCCCAGCTCCTACTTACTAGCATGTCCAGGATTTGGGGCATGTAGGTAGCAAAGTTTCCTTCATAAAGCATGGGCAATCTCAGTCATCAAGCAATCTGCTTCTGAAGGCGAGACAAGGGATGCTTTGACTAGCCTCCAGCGGACAGTCAGGAGACCGTAAACACCAGCCATTTTCCTGCTCTTCAGGTTTACTACATTGACCTTCAATGACTTTAAGCAGCATCTACATATACAACTATCCCATTATTAGCATATTTATCTTTTTCCAAGGTGGATGGAAGACACCACAAATGTCGGTCCTAGCATCATGACTTCCCTAGAAGCCCAGAAAAAAGGGCTCATGGGCTTTCTATGCTGCTGCCAATATTACCAAGAAGATCTCTGGCAGAATGTGGGAAGCCTGAGGCCACTCAAAACGAGCAGCAGACCCAGGTCTATACCTTTGTTTAAAAGGATCTCTCTAACCTAACAAGTCTACCCTTCATAATCTAGGGTTCAAGTCCTGCAGTCTCAGCTCAGTTAGTCACTTCATTATCAACAAGCATCACAGATGGGGAGTGGATGTTGCTGTTGCCTAGAGACACCAACCAGTGTTAAGACTTAGCCTACCATTGAGGAGATCCGGCTCAACAGGGAGAGGGCGAGCAAATCAACAACACATGGCAATGAGAAGGACAGCTATCACCACAGAAGACTTTCCAAGGTGTTGGAGTGTGAGCACTGCCCCATGGTTTTCAATGCTCATTGAACACGGGCAGAATGGATGGATTTTGTTTTGTTATTTCACCTCAGTCCAATTGACTAGCAGAGTTCCACACGTTGGCCTGTTAGCGCATTGCCTGGTGGGCTCTTGGGAACGCTTTGCTGAATGAGACCACGAGGAGTTCCGAAGTAGGGCAAGGCTAAGATTGTGCTTCACGCTCGAAAACCATGGGCTTCCTTTCGGCCTCCATTCCATCCAGCTGTACAAAGGCCGGGAAACAGGAACGCGTGGGTCAGAGGAAGGGAGGGGAAACAGCACCCCTTCCCTGGGGCTTCACTTGTTTTGCCAGTGTCCCCCTTCCATGTGAGTCCCTCCCTTACAGCACCCTTCTTCAGCACTTCATTGGCATTCACTTGGGGCAGGCTTCGAGGTCTGTGGAAACTTCCTTCTACACAAACGGCTAGCTGAGAGGGCTGGCTGAGAGATGATGACACCAAAGAAACCACAGCCCTCGCCTGCAGGGCCACCAACCCAGAACCCTTCTGCTGAGCTTGGGACCTATTTCTGGCCTCATTGTTTGCCTAAAGTCCTTGTACAAATCACTTACCATATGCCACATGTCCTCCCTTACAGGTAGGATGCTGGCTGCCCAGTGACACCCTTCCATGGCTTTCTGGGCCATGGGGCACGAATGAGTTAACAGAAACAAACTAATGAAAAATGAACAAAACCAAACACTTTGGTGAATGTGCCCTTGTGCGATGGCGCAGCCTCGTAGTCGTGGCCTCTACTTCAAGACATCCCTCACAGAGTATTTGCACACACACACACACACACTAGGTGACCCCAGGAACAGTTTCCCCACCTCATTGAAAATAGGAAGCAGTTCAGCAAACGTAGCGTTTGGCTGCATTTTAACAGGAAGCCATCTAAGGAGTAGCTGCTGAAATCAGGATGCTGTTAATGGGGTCTAGATGGCATAAATCGTGGGTACCAAAGGTATGTTCTAGAACGGAGTCGGATGCGCAGTGGCCCAAGATTTCCTTTACGTTAGGATTGTTCAGAGCCACAGATATGACAAGAGCTGTCTTCCTTTCCCTTTAAGAACACAAGTTCCTTTACTTGCAAAAGAGCAGGAAGCCCCCCTCCTTGGGTTGGGCCTCTGGGCGGTGCCTTTCACTTCCTTCCAAAGGTGTTTTCTTACTACACCCCAAGAACCAGGGTCACATTCTGTTGCTTTCACGGGCCTATCAACTACTTTTTGGTGGGTTTTGTGGAAAGTTTCTTGATTAGGAAAAAAGGTAATATTTCTTAAATGCCTGAAAGGTAGAATGTAAAACTAGTATTTTAAATCAGCATCAAAGTAATGCTATGTGCTTCTGGTACAAATGTTGCTTTATAAATGGAACCTCCATTCCCTTTGCCCAGAGGCAAATTGTTAATTGTTCTTGAAAGTCTCTTGTCCAGAGCCAGTGAGGGAACTCAGGGAGCAAAAGTGCTTGGTGCCAAAGCCTGACCACCGGTGTTTGGAACCCCAGAACTAACATCATGGAAGGGGAGAACTGACTCCTAAAAGTAACCGCTTGTCCTCCGGTTTCCACATGTGATACATGTGCTTGAGACACACACCCCTGTATCCTTGTGGGGGGTGAGGGCATGGGATGCATGTGCACATGGAAGCCAGAGGTTGACGGTTGAGGGTCACTTCCTCAATTCCTCTCTACTTTAATCCTCCAGGCTGGTCTCTCTCTGAACCCGGAGCTTCCTTACTGACTAGACTGACTCCGGGAAGCTTCCTGTCTCCACCCACCACCTACCCACCAGTAGTCAACGGGGTCAATTCAAAAGGCCTGGCTCCCACCAGTTTCTCTAAATGGTCCTAGTTCCTTTTAGCCATGATTTCCCAAACTATTGAGTCTACTTACCCTAGAAGAATAGAGGGACAATTTCAAGTAGTGTCTCCCCAGCTAAAGCTGATGTTTCCGCACACCAGTTGGATGCCAGGTTACTGGAAAACCCTTTGAATATATAAACACTGAAGGTGGGAACAAACACAGAACAAAGGAAGAGCGTCTTGCAACCTCTTCCTCCTCTTCCGGTCCCTCCTCCTCTTCCTGTCCCCTCCTCTTCTTCCTCCTCCTCTTTCTGTCCTTCCTCCTCCCACTTCTCTTTCTCCTCCTCCTCTCCCTCCTCCTCCTCCTCCTCCTCCTCCTCCTCCTCCTCCTCCTCCTCCTCCTCCTCCTCCTTTATATAGTTGCATTGTAACTGGAAAGAGCCCAGGGTCTCACGGCTATGCTGAGAAGCATTCTACTACTGAGCTGTATCCACAGACCTTGTGGTCTATTTTTAACATAAATGAGATCATTTTTGCCCAGCAAACAGGTTGTTGATCCAGCTGTTGCTTTGAGTGTCTTCTGAAAATTTCTCCAACAGCACGATTACTCTAGTGCTTCCTTAGAAAAGAAAGGCTCACGAGGGTGGTTACCATGGCTGTACTTTGTGAACTAAGATTTTCAGAGTGAATTGTGCCACATTTCACCTTTGACGATTTTCCTTCCCTAGGATTGCTGGTACGCTGTCAGACTGTGGCCGAGTCCCCTCGTAAGGTGCTATCATGGAGGTGCCTTGGCTCCCACAAACCACCTTGCTGGTATTGGTGCTTGGTGGGGGAGAATACATCACCATTGCGAAGGTTATAACGAATTCTGCTGGAAGTGAAAAGCCTCATGTGGGAAATAGAGACATTAAAAGTGCACATCTTGGGGCTGGAGAGATGAATCATGGGTTAAAATGATCCATTTGTTGCTCTTGCAGGGGGCCAGAGTCAGTTCCCAGCAAATACATGGTGGCTCACTATCATCTTTAGCTCCAGTTCCAGGGAATCTGATGCCCTTTTCGGACCTCTTCAGGCACCAGGCACCCATGGGATACAATATATAAAATAGGCAAAACACCCAAATTCATAAAATAAAATACATAAATCTTTACAAAAATAAAATAAAAAAAGCGTATCTCAAATTATTTATCATGTAACTTTCTGGTGAGGAAATTTGGCACATAACACCTTCATCGAGTCATCAATGTTATTTTTATTTTAGCATTCCAAGTAGCTAAATAAACCAACATCACTCTGCTCCTGATACTAGACACCAAGAAGGTCACAGCATTCCTCATGCAGTATTCCTGTCCACAAAGAAAACAGACAAGTTTAATCACGAGGAGATAACTATTAAATCTAACTCAAAAGGAATTCTGCAAAGCACCTGCCGTTATCAAAAATATTAGTATCATAGAAAACCAAGAGAGGCCAAGAAAGTTCTAGATAAACGATGCCAACAGGATATGACAATTAAATGTTATGCATGATCCGGGATTGGAATCTGGACCAGACAAAAAGTGTTAGAAGGACAGTATCAGACAAAATTTGAATATGTCTGTAGATTAGATCACAGTATTGTAGCACAGATAATTACCTGACACAGATAATCATACCAATGGCTATGCTGTGTAGTCCTTTTATTGTTAGTAAACACACATCTAAGGGTGGGAGGTGGGGTGACAAAAAGTTTCATAGTCACAACTTACCCTCAAATGGATTTTTAAACATCCACAAGTAGGTAGATAGACAAAATGAAGGGTAAAGCCAAGCAGCAAAATATTAAAATTGGAGGTCCTGGGTGAAGAATGCGTAGTCATTAATTATTCTTGAAGCTGCTTGAAATTATTTCAGATGATTTTGTACCTAGTCTGGTAGTTCCAGACATGGTTTATGTTGCAAACAAATAACAAACCAACAGAAGCCAGACTAAAAAAACCGCAGGCACTGAAGGTGAAAAAAACCCGACAGAGGGGCAAGATGGCCACCAAGCCTGAGACCCAAGACCCAAGTGATGGAAGAAGATAGCTGATTCTGCACAGACGCACTGGTATGTTTGTGTGCGCACACACAAAGTAAATGCAATAAGAATTTCCAGCCATCAGTTCTCTCTGGACACAAAGTGCTTCCTCGCCATTTCCGTGAGCTAGCTCTCATTTTCCTGGCGGTTTCTGCGTTTTTGTGCACAAGAGGGAGAATCCAGTGTGTTTTCTTCAGTTTCCCCTCGCTACACAGTCTAAATCTCTTCCACCCAACTGATTTCCATCCAGTGCCCAGGTGGCGCTGCATAATGATCTTTACCAACTCCACGGCAGTCAAAGAAACCTTTATCCTAAAGGTCCTCTCTGGGTGGCCAGCTTTTTGGTACTCTTTTGGTTACTTTGGAAAACTGTATGTACAGTTTTTGCACATAGCATTTTTGGATGTGGCATTATGTAGCAGGAAACCATCTACTTAGCACAGCTGTTGCGAAGTAGACTTGCAGTGTTGGCTAATCACTACCTCTGCCTAGTTCTAAACCATTTTTTATTGCTCCCAAAGTGAGCCCTGTATCTACTACAAGGTCATTCCCCATTCTTCTCAACCTTTAGCTCCTGGCAACCACTGTCACAAATATTGTCTCTGGCCTTATCTACTCTGGGTGTTTAATTTAAATAGAACCATACAATACGGGGTCTTTGTAACTAACTTTTGTTCACATTGTACAATATCTTCAAGGTTCTTCTATGCTGTAGTGTGGTTTAATACTGAATCCTTTTTTGGGAGACAATGAAAATGGCACCCAGGGCCTTGCTACTATAAAGAGCTATATCACCAGCTTTTCATTTATTTGAGACAGAGTTTCACTATATAACTCACACTGGCCCTTTGAAATCAGTATGTAATTAAGGATGCCTTCACACTCCTATCATTACCTTCTGAGTACTGGGATCACAGGTATATGGCAGCATTCTTGGCATCATATGGCAATTCAGTGTTTAACATTTGAAGACGGAGATTCATCTTAAACCTTTAGTTGAACCTATTAGGGTGAAATTTGGGGATTATTATGTCTGTTGATTTCACAGATTATATAGACCAGGCTCTAATTTGTACATTATGGTATTGACACTCAAGTGGTATTTTCCTGGTGGCTTCCCTTACAGTGGGTAAGATTTAGGTTTATATTTTCTACTTTAGATGCAAAGTCAAATGCCACCATGAATTACTGTAAGGTAGTTAGAGTATGAATTACATGGGAAGGAAGAGCCTATATCAGAGAGAATCAGAGGTGGGGATCCAGGTGCTAGGAAAGGTTTCCTCTCTCATTAGCCATATACGTCAGTCAATGTCCATGCACAGGGACGCTGAGAACTGCAGGTCACCCTTAGACAGGAAAAGTATAACACAGCAGAACGGAAGGGAGCTTTGTGTGCGCACTTTACAAACCCTGGGGACAAGTAACGACTGCCTTGCGCCACTAGCTTCAAGGGTAATGACGCTAGACTGAAGGTTTAACTAGAGGGGAAAGGCTGAGCCATCTTGTGCGCACAGCCTGGCTGTTACATTATCAGAGAATGGGTGAAAGGTGTGGTGTCCCAAAAACCTTTGGAAGCTGACGATCTGAATTGCAAAGCATGGTGAGGCAGCCCAAGAACCTCCCAGAAGAACCCCTGGAAGCCACGTAGAGACGTTCCTTTCTCATAGACATCAAAAGACCAGGATTTTCCAGAATGGGCTGTGTGTGTGTGTGTGTGTGTGTGTGTGTGTGTATGTGCGTGTGTATGTGTGAGACAGAGAGAGAGAGAGAGAGGCAGAGAGACAGAGAGACAGAGAGACACAGAGACACAGAGAGACACAGAGAGACACACAGAGAGAGTGCATTCATGTATGTTTTTGTGTGCACACGTGCTCTATGTTATGCACAAGTGTGGTTCAGCCCTAGGCAAGCAAAGTTGGTCTTCAATAGGAGAGGAAACTCAGAAGGTGAAAAGGATGAAGAATCCCCCAGTGGTGGCATTGGTGTCCCCAGCTCTACTGAAGAGCTCCAGTCCCACACTCCTCCCAAGTAGACTGGACGTGAGTCAGGACACCAACACCATGTAACCTCTAAAGCTGTGGCGACCAATTCAGTGTGTGTTTGACCTTCACTGTGTTTAAGAAGCCCATTTTTTTTCTCTTGTGCTTTCAAATGTGTTTTCTTTTCCTTTCCTAAGTCATCCTTTTTGCAAATCACCACTACTTGTTGAACTGAACCAGCAAGAACAGGATGTTTCTGCAGCTGGGCAGCACTGGAGGCTGTGGCCAGGTCACTAGAGGCAAAAAAAGGGGGTCAAAGGAGCACGTGGACCTGTCCTAGATACAGGGCAAGGCAGCGGCCCTGGAGACACATAGGAATCTGTAATCTGAAAGAGTAGGGTTGGCTTCATCATGTAAGAGACTCTGTAAAGAAGGAACATGTGGGACCTCTGTGGAAGATCATGAAGGATTTCAAGATGGAGGCAGTACAGTACTATGCATCAGGTCATGCTGAGTGCAGAGCCCAGTCTAACACACAGGCCACAGACCCGGAAACCCAGCCCTGAAGCGAATGCCTTCCTTCGTCAGCATTCCCTTCAAATCTGAAGCAGCTGTCTGAGGCGTGCACTTGGTTTCTTCATCATAAAGCCACTAACCACCTTCTGCTAGTAATACAGGAATTATACTTCTTGTGTGTGTGTGTGTGTTTATGTGTATGCAGGTCCATGCGTCTGTGGGTGTGCAAAAGATAACTTTTGGCTGCACTGCCTACCTCATTATTTTTGTTTGATTGATGTTTTTATTGATTTTTTTTTTGAGCAGGGTCTCTTATTGGCCTGGAACTTGTGAAGTATGATATGCTGGCTGGCCAGTGCCACCCCCAGGATTTGCCTGATTCTACCTCCCCAGTTCTGAGATTACATGTAAGTATCACCGTACTTGGTGTTTCAAATGGGCTTTGAGACTTGAACACAGGTCCTCATGCTTGCAAGGAAAGCACACTGCTGAATGCATGAGCCCTGGGGAATATATTTCATAGCAAAGGCTTGACAGGGCTGAGGGTGAAGTTTAGTGGTAGAGTGCTTGCCTAGCATGTGTCAGGCCATGGGCTGGAACCACAGCACCATGAGAAAAACAACAACTAAAGGGCCAAGCCAAGTTTTGACACCCATAGCTGAGCATGGCCGTGAATGTGCCATCTTCTTGTCTCCATTCCCAATGGCTGGAATCACTGGCATATGATACCACTGCCAGCTTACATAGTATCTACAATTTAATTATTTAAATTTCAAGCATGTCTGGGCACCATATATACGTCTGGTACCCACAGAAGCCAGAATCTAGAAGTGAGGGTCAGATCCCCTGGGACTGGAGTTACAGACAGTTCTGAGTCAACATGAGGCTGATGAGACTTAAACCTGGTTTTCTGGAAGAACAACCGGTGCTCTTAAGTGCTGAGCCATCTCTCCAGCCCAAGTTCTTATATTTTAAAGTGTGCTGTTTTTGTTTTTGTTTTGGGGTGCTGAGGACTAAAGCCAGGGTTTTGTACATGCTACGTACACACCCTAATGATGAACTACCACTAAGCCCTCTACAAAAGCCTGAAGTACGTTAAATTGAAGGCTTTATTGTGATAGGCTATAGCTTTATTCCTAGCTAGTCTACAAAGGCAGCCGGAAGACCTTAGAATGCTAGAAAAATGTAGCATTTAAGTGAGTCCATTTTTAAGATAGCTCCACTGAATCTCAACCACATCACTGGGTTTTGCTGTGTGATCTTGGCCTAGTAGATGACTTAATTTCTCTACAACTCCTTTATCTACAATGTAAGGGAAATAATGGGCCTCTAAGGAGGTCTTGTGGGATACTGCAGGGAGAGCTCCCAAGAGAAAGTAGACACTCAGAAAATGCTGGCTCTTACTGCTGCTCTTATTGTTATTATATCATTATGATCTTTGTATATATTTATAAATTATACATTGCATATGTATGTATTATTATATGACACATATTTATCAGATAGTTAGATCCTATTATTATTACTGCTGCCAGGCTCACAGTCATTATTATTCTTCAGCCTGGTCCCTACCTGCCTCTCAACATTTCCTGCCACTGTCTTTCCTCCTATGCAAGTTCCTTGCCAAACCAAAGGACTCATTGCTCTGGGCAAGACTCAAAGCTTCTGCACTTTTGTGCCAGTTCCCCTGGCTATTTAGAGGCTGAATAACCACTTGGAGGGGATGTTGTAGAGGCAAACTCAAGCTGCAGAATGAAGCAGGCACGGAAACTCAATCAGATCAATCGAGAGGGCAGGGCAATTAGCAGGGCTGCACACACACTGGGGCTGCTTGGTTCTGTCTGCGCTCGCCGGTTTTCCTCCCCTGATTTCTCTCACGCTGGCAGGGGGAGCCCTTTGTTCCCTCTTCCGGGAGCCACAACGTGGAGCTGCTGGGGTAAGAATAGCGGAAAACGCTGGAGAAAGATCCCTTTCAGTGAACCCCGTGACAGGAGTGGGCCGCAAGGGAAGGACAGAGACTTCAAGCTGGCTGTTTGATTCAGGGAAAATTGCTAAAACTCTATGAGCCTCGGTTTCTTTTGTAGTAAAACGAGGAAGTCCCTCAGTACCCGCTGCGAAGGATGAGAACTGAGTCCTATTCTAAAAGGCTTCCGGGAGCTACAAAATCGAGCTAGGACGAGATTTTGAAGATCCTTTCCCTTCTTTGTCTTTTCTTCTCCCTGTTACCAAGGGACCCCAGGCTGTTCAAGGGGATTTAAATTCTCATGGGTACAAGGGAGGTGGGGGTTAGCTGTAAGGGAGAGTTTAAAGGAAAGGTGGCAATTGTAGGAACCCCAGGGGAGTGTGGGCTGCAGGCAGGTGGGGCAGATGGTAGGAGGCCCTGAACCAGACAAAAGGAGTGGTGGGGTTTGAACAAGCAAATAGCTGAGAACCTTGCTGCATTCCCTGTTGTAAGGCTCCGCCTCTTTTTCCTTCGGACTACCGCTCCGCCCCAAACTACATAGTTCAGAGTTGCCCGACTCATTTTCATGAGCTCAGACTTCAATGACTGTTTCTCCATCACTGGAAATACACACAGTTTTGGCCCAGGCCCACACTGGAAAGCAAAAGAAAACAAAGCGTCCGCTCACGCTGCTTCCTGGTTCTGTGGGGGCATGGCCTTGGACAGGGGCCACCTTGTTGGTACATGTCTCACAGGGTGCCATGGCCTGGTAGATGGGAGAGGCAAGGCAATTGCCAGGTGGGCTCTTTGCTTGCCTTTCCCTGGAGGGCCCCGAGGTCAGGATGCACCCTGCAGCTGAAGTAACCAGTGCCTTTGAATGCAATCCTTTTGGCCTCACCATGTTTTCGTCACTTTAATTGGAATTGAAAACTCCCACCTCAGTGGTTATTGGGTTCAGCATATGCTAATCTACTTATAAATGTTTCCTTCACTGAAGCAGCAATTATCCCTGACATCTGGAAGTTAATACTAAGTAGATTCAACTGTCTGAAATGTAAACATGGTTATTGGAGTTTTCGGTTCGGGAACAGAATTCAGGTATCAAGGACACAACCAAAGCAGCGCGAGCCTGGTTTATTGAGCAAATACTATCTTCTAGGACTCAAGGACCACTCTGCTTTATAACCCAGGCTGGCCTCAGACTCACTGTGGATGACCTGCAATCCCTGGTCTTCTTTCCTCTATCTCCCAAATGCTGAAAATTCAGGCATGTCATTCCATGCCTGGTTTATGTCACGCTGGAGACTGAACCTACAGCTTGGCGCATGCTAGGCAGGTGCTCTGCCAACTGAGTTATGTCTTCAGAATTGGAGTTATTTTTATTTGCTATAAAACAACAACATATCTCCTTTTTATTGGTAATTTGTTAGAGAAGTAATATAGTCATGTATTAACTATGTAGAAATATACAAATCACCTGAGGTTTTTATTAATGGCAAACGCTAAAACGTTGAATGTTTTCTTTTCTTCTCAACTTTCCATTTTAAATAAGAACGGGACAAAGTGATTGACATTTTAAAGCCTGGTCCCAAGATCTTGGTCTTCTCACAACTCTAGTTATTGTCATTTGTTCCCTTTACCGAGGAGTCCACCACCTTTAAGACCATTCCTTTCGTTTGCCTTTCATTTTCTCCGTAGCGCCCTTCCCTTTCGATGTTTCTGTCCGGTGGGCCAGCCAAGCCCATTCCGGTGAACTCTGTTCCCACAGCGCGTTGCTTCCCTCTCTAACCACCCACCTGCTCTTTTTCCAGCAGCAGCCGCAAACAACAGCTGCCTGCTAGCCTGCTACCAAAGTAGGAAACTCCAGATGTTTACAGACTCCACACTCCCACCTCCTTGGGCAAGTTGACTTTTGTAACCTTTCCTAAGGCAAAGGAGGCAGCAAGAGCCGGGCTGTGCCATTCCTTTGTTGACCGGGAGAGGAAAGAGAGGAGAAATTCTGACAACAGCTGAGGGAGGGGAAATGAAATCAAACAACCCACAGAACTGGCGTCTGGCGTAACTGCAGCTGCTAGCAGAAGAGGCCAGGAATGCACCCTGCAAGATCTTTTCTGGGTTTCAACAATGCAGCGGACTCCCTGCAAGTGAACATGGGGCAGGAGGGGCTGCGTTACCAGAGAGGAGACATCTGATGCGTGCTCCAACACGTCCAGGGCCCCCATTCGAAGGACAGGAAGGCAGCCGCCCAAGCAAAGCATTATTAACTGGGAAACCAGAGGGGTCACCTTCCCCTGCCTACCCCCATCTCCTTCCTCCCCAGTAAAAGGGAAGTGGATGAAGAAATGGAGAAGTCCAAGCTGCTGGAGCAGAGGCAGTTTAGGCTCCCTTATAACCCTTGACTCATTCCCAGAGAGGCAAAACCCCTATCATAAAAGTGCTTAGCAAAGGGCTTCTGGAAATACCCCCACCCCAGGGCACGGAAAAGGAGAAGGAATATTTTGTAGTCATCTGTGTCTCAGAAAAAAATCCCAACAATGCCTTTTTATAACCTGTGTAGCTTCCTCCTGTCACCCACCTCCTGGAGACCCAAGCTTGGTACCTGTAATTACATTTTAGTAACAAGCGGGTCCCTGGTACTCACCGACTCCGGTGCCATTTTGAAACCCACACCTCTCTACCTGTCTCATCCACATGAATTGCCGAAACCTTCCCCCTCAAAACCGAGTTCGCGCTTCTCTTTCAGTCTTCAGATGGCAGGAGCTAGTGGAACTGTCGTCTTCGGAAATCCTTGGCTCTCATTAGCATTCACTTTTAATTAATAACAGTAAGAAAAAGGAAATTAACTTCCTTATTGTCGCTCAATAGCAGAAATTAAATTTGACTTAATTTTTGAAGAGGCTGTGTATTCTATAAAACTCCCAATTACCTTTCCATGAGCAAATATTAGTTATCTGACTTGAGTTCTCACAAAAATTATAGCATTCGATACAGATGCTTCAATGCTGAAACTTTTCTTTAAAAAAAAATCACTCAAGAATCCTTTATCGCCCTCTCAAATCAAGGGGGAAGACAGCCGAGGAAGACAAAGAGGGCTGGGTGGGGTGAGTGCGGTCCACTGGTCTGAAAGCTGAGTCACGGCAATCAGACCCCAGCAGCCCTTGTGTGAGGGACACCGCACCCTATCTTGGGGGACGTTGGCTGCAGACAAAGCCAGTTTCGAAGTAAAGGAATGCCTGTCTCCTTAGGTGCCACCCAGACACCTTAGTTATCGTGAATTTAACCTTAAGAACAGATTTGGGCGGTCGTTGCAAAAGTTCGTTATAAGAAAATACACGTTAAAGGGAGGGGGAGCATATTGAAGGCGTTTGTTCCTTTTCTAGTTCCGCCATGAATGTGGGTAGAGGGCCATGGTGGATGGGGAGGGGGAGGGAGGGTCGAACAGGCCTCCGAACGCCTTTCTGGAGACGCGGCGCGAAGGAGTTAAGCGGACCGCTAGTGACGTCACCTCATTTACATAGGAGCGCGCATATAACGGCGCGCGCTGCGCCCCTCCCGACAAACGGCAGCAGCCTCAGAGAAGATCGGACTCTCTTTGTTCGCGCTCCTCGCTCCGGTGAGCCCCAGGGCCCCTTCCTCCTTCTGTCCTCCGCTTCCCTGCTTGGCCAGTGCAGGCGCTTGCCCCTCATCCTCATCCTTAAAGCGAGTCCAAGGGGCACTACTCCCAGGCCAGGTTGTTTTGGGGAGGGGGGATGCTAAACTCTTCCAGATGCTGAGTAATGGGAAAGGGGAACTTGATTTTTTTAAAAAAAATCACAAAACCCGGCATTTTGCTGCGTAGTTTGGAGGGGAATTGTTTTCTCTCCTCGACCCTCACCCCCTAAAGCATTTTCCCTGGTCTCGGAGGCTGTTATTAATCAGAAATAGATCCTTTGTTCTAAGGCTCTGTAGTCTCCTGAACGCCTGATGGCTTCGAGGGCTGTTATCTGGCAGGCTTAACCTACCGGAGCTGTAACCTGAAAATTGGGAAGTCCTTGCAGAGAAATGTGTGCAAAGAGGGTCGAAGGGCCCTGCATGCAGATCAGGATGCAATTGCGAGAAGTGGGGAGGCAGCTTTGTGTGCCGCTGCTGCATTGTTGGGCTAGAGCGAAGAGAGGAAGCGAGTAGGGCGGTGGTCGGCGGCTGCTCGCGTCAGCTCCCGCCTTTGTGCGGAGGAGAAAGCTGGGCCCCTGGCATCTTTTTGGGGAGCAAGCCCATCTAGAAACTGTAGATGCATTTTGCGACCTTGACTCTATTTTAAGAGTTTTTACTCGACTTCCCCCCACTAAAGCTGGAAGTAGCTTCATTCTAACCCGATTTTAATATTTCAACATTGCAGTTAACATCCCGCAATGATGAATTTCATTGTACGGATATACCTTTGAGAGCCACCTTCGCTCTTTGATTTTTCACATTGGGAACCGTAAGGGAGAATTTTTTTTTCCCCGGTAGAAAAAGCTGAAGGTCTTTAGCCAGGAATGGAAGAGGAAAAGGGGGGAGGAAGTAGGATTTCAAGCTGGAACCTCTGGTTGGGGTAGGAGAAGGTGCTTTCGGAGCTGGGAGAGGCGAGGGCGGGTGGCTCTTTCTTAGCCTTGGTCTTGGCTTTTTACCTGCAGCTCCTTCCGGCAACCATGTCTGACAAACCCGATATGGCTGAGATCGAGAAATTCGATAAGTCGAAATTGAAGAAGACAGAAACGCAAGAGAAAAATCCCCTGCCTTCAAAAGAAAGTAAGCTGTTCGCCCCCACCCATCTTCAGAACAGGCTGGGCGGGAGCGGAGCGGGCGGGTAGGAGGAAGGGAGGGGCAGCGGAGAGGATGGGGAGGGTGCGGGGGAGGAGCCGACAGTTTGATGATGATGAATATGGCCTGCAAAGGTTAATTAAAAACTGTTTTGCAGCCAACAAACACCGGGCTTTAGTGATTTAATAAGGGAATATTTCATAGGCAAATACATTTATTGAATAACTGTACTTCTATTTAATGACTTCCTCATTGTAGCAGCCTATGTAACCTAGAATTTTTATAGCATGCAAAGAGGTTTTTAAATGAAAACTCCGTGTTTTTGTAGAGTGCGCTAAGCCTCCATCTTTTTTTTTTTTTCCTTCAGCGATTGAACAGGAGAAGCAAGCTGGCGAATCGTAATGAGATGAGCGCCGCCAATCTGCACTGTACATTCCACAAGCATTGCCTTCTTATTTTACTTCTTTTAGCTGTTTAACTTTGTAAGATGCAAAGAGGTTGGATCAAGTTTAAATGACTGTGCTGCCCCTTTCACATCAGAATCAGAACTACTGACCAGGAAGGCCTCCTCTGCCTCTCCCACCCATCTGTTGGTCTGGCTGGCAGGGAGGGAAAAGAACTTGCATGTTGGCGAAGGAAAAAGTTGGGTGGGAGGTGGTGAAATATAGAGTAAAATTCAAGATGGTCCAAGGTGTCCTACAGGATGTAAAATGCAGTTTAATCAGAGTGCCATTTTTTTTTGTTCAAATGATTTTAATTATTGGAATGCACAATTTTTTTAATATGCAAATAAAAAGTTTTAAAACCTGACTGTCGTGTCTGTTTGGTGTCTGGAGGGATTAGTTGAATGGGTGCTACAACCTTTGCAAAAGTGCCTGCCTCTTGATCACTGGGACATAGATGTCACAACCATGAATAACCTTGACATCACACTGGGGTATGGATAATATCTTGTCTACAGCAAAAGATTGGGAGGGCATCTTAAGGTGATTGTGAGTTCCTTGCGGGATACATGATTTAAGGAAAATAGCTGCATTTTGTAGCAGCTTCCGTTGTTGCAAGAAGGGGGCTGAGAAACTTCATGAGTTTTAATAAGTCGACATTTAATTTATTGCACATCAGTCAAAATAAAGGGTGGTGGTTCAGCACATTGGCTTTAGGTATCAAAATGAACTTGATCGACTACCTAGTATCCAACAAGTTCAGTTTAGGGCAATCCTCTGAGATGGAACTAAAGACCACATTTTAGTATGTGCTTTAGAAAGGAATTCTGAATTTGTCCTCATCTAATGACTGGCTTGAAATTTAAGTTCAATATTTAAAATCAGCTTTAGAAAAGGAAATGCACTTATTAAAGAGTGATTTGAAATCAGTGAAATCCTAAAACAGAATGTTGGGGTTTAGAAGACAAATTCAGGACAGGTAAAATCTGGGCCAAGTTTGAAACCAGCAGATAACCATCAGCTGACCTGCAGGTCTTTTCTGGAGTCTTCCCTAATCTTCTATCATCTGAGCTACGTATTTTAGTTGGTGGGTACAAGCAAAGCCCTTGTTTCGGCTGGGCCACAACATGTAGCAAGAGGAAGAAAAATGAGCTATTTTCTAAAAGTAAAATGAATGTGCTTGGAGCTGCTTGGTGGATCGCTCTGTTCTTTATGAAAGGTACATGTTCGATAACTGACATACAGCAATATTTAAGATCAGAAGCTCTCCCAGCATCTCAGCAAGGATAAAATATACAGGACAAATGTCCACAGTGAACTTTTCCCCTAAAACTGGCTCATGAAAACACCGGTTTGCAGTGGGGGCAGGGAAGGGGTATTGTGCATTACTAAACACAGTTGATTTCCTTTGCTCAACACTTCCTTTGAGAAATGCACATGAAACCACGGACCTGTGGTTTAGACAATCGAGGAGAGCATCAGTGAACAGACCTGCCTGTCAGGGGTAGGATGCGTGGACATGTCAGGCCACAGGTCTTCTGTCTCCTATGGAGAGGAGACAGAAGGAGCCAGCACGAAGGTTCTGGGTGGGGGAATCCTCTAGCCTTGACATTTCTCTACTGACCTACAAGGCCGGGTATAGGCTCGGATGAAAATGTCCAAACCACAAAGAGAAACCAGACCCATGCAAGTTTTTGTTGTGTGCATTTTCTGAACAATGCAAGATGAACGGTTGGGTTTTGGTTTGGTTTGTTTGTGTGTTTTTTAATTCGCACAGTTCCAGAGTTCCTCGGTTTAAAGAAGAAAGGGAGAGGAATACTTCAGAAAGGTCAGTGACAGAATAACTGTCCCTTCTGTCCCAGAAAGACCAAGACAAATTATAATGGGTAGATTTAGACAAAAGGTAGAATTAAAAATCCAGGGCTGGGGATCTAGCTAAATTGGTAAGTGATTGCCTAACATGCATGAAACACGGGATTTCATTCCTAGAACTGAAAAAAAAAAAAACCTGGCATGGTGGTGGAGGCAGGAGGATCAGAAGTTCAAGTCCCCCTCAGTTACATAGGAGGTTTGAGGCCACACTGAGATAAAAGGGACCCTATCTCAAAAGAATAAAAATGAAGAAATTTAGAAATAATTGAATGCTGGCTCCTTGATGGGAAAAATGGGTGTCAAGTCGGAAATATCTGCTCATACCCCATGATATTGGAATTAAAGTTAAATGCTGCATAGGGATGGACGAGGGCACTCGATTGCTGTTCTGTTGTGATGGTGGTAGCGCATGTGGCTTTTTGCTGGTATTTATTACTACTATTATTGTTTTTAACTCTTTCTTTGCTGGAGCATTCTGTATTCTTCTGAAGAGAGACTCTTTCCGAAGGCACTTAAGAATCAGTATAGGAATTTATGCTTTTGCTATCTGAGCCCTTTGGGTTGTCAGTATTTTCAGAGATGTGGAAGGAGACACTAAGTTTATCATTAATATGAGAGAGAGAGAGAGAGAGAGAGAGAGAGAGAGAGAGAGAGAGAGAACATTTCAGCCTGAGACCCTTGCTCCCGCATCTTTAATTGAACTCCTCCCAGAAGGAATGAGGAGTTTATGTAAACTGCAGGCACCTTGGACCTAGCCATTTATTCTGAGAATCCCAGAACTTGGGAGGATAAGAGATAAGGAGCAATGTAAGTTTCCAGCCCATTTGGGCAATATATCAAAACCTCTGTCTGTAAAATAAAAGAATAAAATAAAAACCAGTCACAGAGTTTTGCAGTTCTGTAAACGCTGAATAAATCAAGATGGATAGCACAGGTATTTTCAAATCTCACTAAATTCCCAGCTATTTTAGCTATGTCGATTCCAGTCTTCTAGCGGATGGACTTTTAAAGTTAGTTTTCAGAAAAACACCATGCTTCTGCAGTGTGTGTAAACGGACTGAGCAAGCACGGAAGAAGAAGGCATGTGGGCAGACAGTCTCACGTGCTCAGAGCCTCTGAGGCTTCTTCCAGCCCTCAGAGTCACAGCTCGGTTCTGTTGCCTATACATGCATGTGAAGAATCTGTTTATTTCTCCCAGAGAAGCATAAGTCCTCAAGACACAAAAAGAAGTTTGTTGCTTTTTTTAATATTTCCAAAAGTACGAGTGCTATTCGTGCTTACTAGAAAGAACATTGCATTTTGGAAACTGTGTTACAGCCAAAAAATAAATTAAAAAAAAAACCTGTGTGTCTTTCTTAGCTCAAACACATACATTTAAACCATTTTTCAGTAATA